TTTTAAACCTTTTTAAATGATCCAGGTTCATGTTTCATCAAATAGACATAACTATAGAATTATCATTGATGAAATATATATTTAACTATGATATGAATCATCATTAGACCATATACATTTATTTATATCAAGCTTAATAATTCTGCAAACCTTTAACTCTTTTTAATAAAGGATATCTTGATTATTTTACTCAATAAACAAGACAATTAAAAGGACCAAATACTCTTTTTTTTTTTATATGTAATTTGGTAATTATTGTTTTAATAATATGATCTGGTCTACAATACTATATGTAATTTGGTAATTATTTTTTTAATAATATGATCTGGTCTACAATACTATAAATACGATTAATATTGGTTATTTAATCTATTTTTTTTGCTATATCTATTAAACATACACATTTCAAAATTAAGTATATACAAACCTTTCGTATAAATACCAGATTCATAATAAACATCATCATTATAAAAGGAATAGCATTTATCTTCAATAATACATTTAAATTCATTTGAAATTAAGTAAAAAAAAATATAATATTTACTAAGAAAATCATGGGTTTACTAAGGAACACCTTTGTCATCTTGCAGTAGAAAATTTCTTTAAGGCCATATACCTCTTGGTCTTACTAGCTATATGAAATAACTCTTTAATATGTATAATTATTGTAAATATATCTACATTTTCATATTATCTTTAAAGTTTATGTAACATGCTGGCCAACATCAAATATGTAGCTTATTCATCATTATCAATATCATGTTAATAATCATTCCTAACTTCATCATCAACATTTTTATTAGGGGAAAATGAATGAAATTTTCAAAAATATATAATCTTGAGAACAATTCTTACATTATGACTCTATTCCAAGAAGTTTGGTTTAGTTAATTTGTAAGCATTAAGTATGCACATAGAGATATATTGCTACTCATTTTTTAGCTATCAATCTATTCATGTAAAGACAACGAACATTAGTTTCATGCGTGCATATTTAAAATCAAATTTAAATAAGGTCTTTAATTATAATTTGGTTTTTTGTTATTTTCTTGAAATTAATAGGCCTCCTTATTAATTTTGAAAATCTCATTTAGATATCTTGAGGAGGCTGAAATCTCATTTAATTTATATTAACTTAAGTAATTCAACAAATCAAAATAAACAAAATTAGTTAGATGTCATAGCTCATTAATCACATCTTTATAGTGACAACTCTTTATCTAAACATATTATATATGTTTTGTCTAACTAATGCTTGTAAATTTATATGGTTATAAAAGACTCATCCAAATCATACAAGTTTAGTTAAGTAAGACTCAATTTATAACATTAAACATATTTGATTAATGATAATCTTGAGTAGATCAATAATTTATCCATTAATAGAACTTTAGTTTTATGCATATAAAATTGAAAAATAATGAATCATGTTGAATTATATATTAATGAGGAATTTGTTATGTTATACAAGTCTTATCCTATGACATAATTGATATATTATACATAACAATTATATATAATTATATAGTCCTAACATACCATTCTAAACTAATTCCTTTTAGCCATGAAAGGAAATTAGATGGTTAAATACTAAGTAGCTTCTACTCATCTTTATAACTTCACACAAGCTTTATAGTTGTGTTATTTTTCCATCATTTTTTCTTCATCTTAGATTACAAAATAATTTTATAATCATTCAACTAATAAAACACATAATCACATTATTTTCTTAATGTCTATAATCATCCATGATGCATAAAAACATGTTAATATCCATAAAAAAATGATATTGCATGTTTCGATTCTAATTATTGGTTTTATGTGCAATTTAAAATAAAATTTATAACATTTACAAATATTAAATCAAACTCAGTTTGATAATTTTCTAGATTTTATAAATTTTATTTAATACATAATTAAAAATAATAATTTTCAAAATTTAATAAAAAAATTAATCATATTAAAATTCCTTTTATCATCCTAAACTAATCCAGGATTAATTAAATAATATTCTCTAGCTTAAAACCTTCTTTGTTTTAGAAAAAAAAAATTTCCTAAAATATTTTAATTAAGAACACTAATTTAATCCTAATCCAATTATGACACTTCAAAAATAAAAATAAAATAAAAAAAAAAAAAAAATACATAAATACATACATACATACATTATATTAAATTAAAAATTTCAATTCAACATAAATACATACATACATGCATTATATTAAATTAAAAATTTCAATTCAATCATACTTTAATTAGAAATATTAATTCTACAATTAATTTACTTTTTTTAATATGAAAATTCAAATATTTTATGCATGGAGAGTAGAATTGTAATTCTGCTCAAATACCCAACTTGTAATTAATATAAAGTATAGGGGCTGCATTGTAATTTGGCCTTAAAACTGTAATTGTTGGCTACGGGGGCATAATTGTAATTCTTCCCCTCATCCTCTTCCTCCGTTTTTTTCCATTAGCAACGGGGATACTGCCCACCGTTGGCTGCAAGCCTGACAACGAAAACCAAGGTTGTAGCCACTCATGACGGCCACCTCGCAGAAGACAACAATGCTTAGCTATACACATAGCACTGCCGACCATGCTAGTAGTGCCGACGATGTCGATGGTGGTTTTCAACCACTAAATTAGATTTTTTTTTTTTATTCTGATCTGATCTAATGAAACAATAATTAAATAATATTTTTTTTCAAAAACATTAATAAAAAAAATTATTTTTAATATAAATTAACTCATAATTCACCCAAAAGGTAACTATAACATACAATCAGTAGCCATAATTGTTTATCATTATCTTTGATATCATAATTAATTTTTTTAATTGTTTTAACTAAAATTGAAGTTTTATTTTGCATAATTAATCTTTAATCCATCATTATTATATTCCTTGATATTTTGTATAAGTTAAAGAATACAAATTGAAAAAAAAAAAACTCATGTGTAAATGTTTGGTTTCTTAAAAGAAATAATCTTTGATGGATTCGATAATTTTAAAATTTTTTGGAAGTCTAATGGATATCATTAAAAAAATATAAAGTTGTTTACATGTGAAGAATAATTAAAAATCAGTTATGTGTTTTGAGTTTCATCAATTATTCAAGTTTTTGTTATTGTAAATTATAAATTATTTAATTATCCAATCTCTATTAATAATCAACATGAATTACTATATTAAAAATCTTATATACCTTTTTAGAAAAGAAATTGTTATACTTTAAGTGATATCTTTTTTTTTTTATTTTGTTCTTTTAATTAAAAAAAATATGAGGCATGACATTTTATTTATAAAACTAACCTCATGACCTAGTTAATAGCAAAAAAATCAAATTTTTCTTGAAAATTATCACATGTTTTATTTAAAAATAGTTATTAGAAATTTATGTAATCAAGTCCTCAATTGTAATATCTTATTTTAATTATAATTTAATTCTTAATTTCAAAGACTTATTTATAATTGAGTATGTTTAATTAATCATTCCAAATCAATTTCTTATCAATGATTCTCTATATATATGACTTATTTATTAGATTTCTTAAAATATATAAACATAAAGGAAACCATAATTTAAATTTTTATAAAAATCTCAAGATTATTGTTAGATATTTTAAGGTTATTTATGGTTTGAGAGAAGATTACTTAAAGAATGAATCTTCTTTAAGAGGTTTGATCAATTTCTTTGAAATTAAGGCAAACCATAAGTTTTCTAAATATCAAACTTCTAATAGTAATTAATATGAATTACAAATAAAAAATATTCTAAAATAATTTTTAGAGGAGTGAGATCGTTAAATATTTGAGTGCTAGCTTGGTGTTACAAATAAAAAATATTCTAAAATCATTTTTAGAGGGATCGTTAAATATTTGAGTGCTAGCTTGGTTTTTTATTTTTTTATTTTTTATTTTCAGTTGTTTTTGTATTGTTTATAGCTTGCATGGTTTTTCTCAACGAAAAATACAAGGCAAGGTATTCTATTTATAAGTAAACCTAATAACCCTATAAATAAATAAAAATATTAATTTTCTCATTGAATAATATCACATATATTATTTTAAAAAAATTCAAGAAATTTATTCAATTCAGTCCCTATTTTATTTTTCTATATCTAAAATTATAATCCATTTCATTAATTACATTCTATCTTCAAATTTCTAAAACTTATATAAAATCAAGTCACACTTAATTAATTATATTAATTTAATTATTAATCAATATTTCTTATATTTTATGACCTATTTGGTTTTGGTTCCTTTATATATTAACTCAAATATAAATCATAATTTTAAATAAAATATAATCAAATAAATTTAATAATTTAACTTATTATTAATTTAATAAATTGAATGATTTATATTTGAAGATTACATATAATATTTAGCAACGTGTAATAATCCTCTAAATATTAAAAAAATTATAAGTAGTTTGACTTAATCTTTTAATAACAAGTTTTTTATTGTAATTATTATCTTTTTATTAAGAATATTTTAATTTAAATATTATAGTATAAAATATATCTATTTTATTAAATCATATTTATTTTCATGTCTACTTTGTAATGATCCCTTATTTATTTTATTATTATTATTTATCAGAGATAAAAGTATAAGCCTTCGTATCAAAACGGGTATCCTAAATGTCAATTGAAATTTCTCTCTACCACACACGCTAAGAAAACAGGTCTAGTTGGGGCCATAGGCCAGCCTAAAGCATAGGTTTTTATTCAGTCTAATCTACAGAAACTCGAGGCCTATGATGGGCCTTTAACAGCCCAACAAAACTAAAGGAAGCTAAGAAATCATCCAGGGGTGAGCCCAATTGGCAAAACCCCGATTTATTTATTCATTTCAAAATCTAAATAAAAAAAATTAGACTTTCACACCTGTCAAATGACCTCAGAACCATCTCCACCTTCCACGTGTCCATCAATGATTCCCATTCGATTTTAACAAACAAGCCCTCCGAAAACACGAAATTATATTTTCCTCTTGCTATTCTTCCCTCAATTAACCAAACTAAAACAGAATCTTCCTATCGACCCCAGAACGGATGTTGAGGCTACTGGCATCCGAGAGATTATTGCTCTCCCAAAGAACTCGGATCCTGCCTCGTTTCTACCACGAGAAGGTGATTGATCACTTCAACAATCCACGCAACGTAGGGTCTTTTGACAAGAATGACCCGGCGGTCGGCACTGGACTTGTCGGTGCACCTGCCTGTGGTGATGTGATGAAGCTGCAAATTAAGGTGGATGATACCACTGGCGAGATTATCGATGCTCGTTTCAAAACTTTCGGTTGTGGCTCCGCTATTGCTTCCTCCTCTGTTGGTATGTTGATCCTTGTTTTGTTGATTTTAACATTTTTCTTAATATAATTTATGTATTGTTGTGAATAAAATAGAAGGAAATCTGAGGAGCTGATTTGTGTTGTTTTTCAGCTACTGAATGGGTGAAAGGGAAGCAAATGGAGGAAGTTTTGACCATCAAAAACACGTTAGTTTTTCTTCTTCTTCTTCTTTTTTTTAAAGATTTTATCTATTTTTATTGCACTATTTATCCTTCATTTTTGTTGTTTTGGATAGAAAAAGTAATGATTTTGCGCGTTTATGATTATTGTACTGATGGTATATATCTATTTAATCCATTTTGTTATTTTTTGATTGCAACTCTTTAATGGAATCAACTGGAGTTCAACATAAATATCAAACCAAGGAAGCGATTGTAAGCGAAAAAAATTGTGGGAAGCTATCATCAGTTATAAGATTAGACTCCATCACTGCCAACTTTGTCTAGGGAACTTAGAGGGGTATTTTATTTTTAAATTATAGCTTCCATGGTTCATGAGTCCAATCTGCTTGTTCTAGTTAGCCATTTCATCTGGTATACTTATAAAGCTTGGTTGGCATTTTGAGATGGTGGGTGCTGAAGTGAGACTCAGTATAGAATGTGATGTTCTTCCTTTCTGCCGATGCCTCTTCATAATTTTCAGTATACTCTGGCTTTGCCTGTAACCTCAGCTATTGCAGCATTCAAGCTTGTACTAGTTTTATTTTAAACTCAAGAGTTGCATGTTCGGGGGATGTAGAGTTAATTTTGGATATCAGATTGAGAAATTTCTTACCGAGAGGATGATAGTTTTTTGGACCCACTACATACAAAGCATCTGGCATTTTGCATTGATTGTTTGGCCTTGCTGAAGGTTAGGGAATTATGAGTAGAACCTGTCGGACCACTTCAGGGATATAAATTCATTTACAAACATAAGACGATGGTCTTAACCAAGGAAGATTGAACTGTAATAACACTATTGATATGTATTTGCTCTCTAGTATCACAGGATCACTCATCCCTGTTTTTTACCAACAACCTGTGATTCCTCATACACGCCAAGTGGCATTATGCAGGTGGACCTTGTCTTTTCTGTTATTAGCAAGCAAGACTATTCACACATTATTGTCCATAAATATCCATGGCCGAAGTTAAACTATTTCTGACATTGGCCTTGATTAGAAGCATAAATGGATTTGTACTTCATTTTCATTTTGTACGCTTATGGCTGGGAATATTCATGATTGGTAATCAATTAGCAGGTTTATAAAGCAATGAATCAGAAAAAAGGTAATGGCGTGGCCATTTTTCCTTGGTCATAATCAAGTGCAGATGTTTTTGTGAGACTTGATGAGGATTTTATAATGTTCTCTACATGTGCTTATTTGTGCCTTCAATTTTTTTGTTTTGAGTTAACTGGAGTGCTATTTTGATATAATGAACTAAACAAGAAAGAAAGTCTCACTCCTTTATCGTTATCAGATTTTAGGTGCCTTATGTTTGTGAACTATAAAAGGTACCTTTTGTCTTTCCATGTGTTTAAATTTACACAAAGCAGGTGTGCATTTGAATGGATGGTTCTGTCTCCTCTTTGGTGTGAGTTTGGGCAGCTGAAAAATACCTTTTCTTTTTCTTTTATATTGTTTCTGTTCTTTTTTTAATTTCATCCTTTCCATGAAAAGCCCTTCTTTTCATTTTTGATATTACTTACCTCTCTTTTATTAAGTTATATGAATGCTTTAAAGGACACATGCACACACTCAGTCACTAATGTAAAAAAATACACACACTAACCAATAGAAGTGTATAGATGGAAACATAGGATGGCCTTTCTATAATGAAAATATGAGTTTGTGTGAGGAAAGAAGGAATTTATATGGGACACGTGCATGACACACTAAATCACCACATATTGCACAGTTGAAAGAATAGAGGCTTTGGCTGTTTTGGTCTTAGAAAATGCAGGGGCGGTTTTGGTCTTAGAAAATTACATGAAGAAGTGGAAAACTATAGATGTACACTAGCTGTTAGTTTTAGATTGAATGTCTTATGTGTTGTCACCACATATGATAGGGACATCAGACTCGAGACATGGTTCACATGTTTGTATGATTATGATGATAGAGGAATAGCCCAACTCTTGTGTTATTGGATTTTATTTAGTTTTATTTGTTGGGTTTGATTTAATTATTATTGGATATTTTATTTAATGGATTGTAAGCCCAATTGTTTGTTCTAGTTAGAGTTTTATTATTTATATTCTATTTTTCTAAATGTTGGACAATTTTTTGATGAATTTAATAAAATTTACTTTTCTAAGTCCTATTCTTTCTCTTCTTCATTTTTTTCTTCTCTTTCTATGACTTCTTCTTCTTAGCCTTTTTTTTTCTTTCCTTTTTAGCTTAATTTTTTTCCCCGCATCAGCTTTGGTATCAGAACCAAGTTTTTAATTGTTCTTATAATTAATTGATCTATTAGAGCTTGTGCAAATCTTCAAAATTCAACACAGATTCTAGTCCCTAGCAATTGTGAGGATCATCATCAATAGTGAAAAAAATAAAATAAATTTCACCACCCCACTACCCTGAACTGAACCCAAATACCCCTTTTTCCTCTGACAGACAACACTAGAAACCTATATACATTTTCTCATTCTTTTCCCAAAAAAAAAGCACACCCGAAAGCTTTGGCAAATAAATTCGTAGGCTACAATGGGAATATCTACCATCCTAGATTTAACATGTTCCATCATTTGATGATGATAAAAGGTGATGTTTATATCTGATGTATATAGCCTAGCCTGGGACTAAATGCAATGGTAGTAACAACTCTGATCTCTCTAGCACTCTACACATCAAACTTTGATTGAGAGACGCCAAGAAGAATGGAAATGATTGGGAGAGTCTACTGCCTTTTATTTTATTTTAATATTTTTTTTATTAATTTTCCTTTTTAGGTGTTATTTTCTTTTATATTGATTTATAAAAAAAGAATGAAAAAAAATGTGAAAAGTGACAATATAAAAAAAAGAAAGAAAAGTGAAGAAAAAAGGTGACAGTAGCAAAAGGAGATCAGCCGGTAAAACACCACATCAACGGTTCTATCTACAACAATGGTTCTATCTACGTCAACAATAGTGATTCAAGTGACCCCTTACAATTGTCAAGCAATCTGGTTTGTAAACCACTCAATCTCTCAGCTCATTGGATTTTACTTCACTAGTTTTCACCCATGGTATTCAACTTATCATCAATAATATTCTTTATTGTCTAAAAAAAATCTTATCTTGCATTATACTCTTATATTTTTGCTCACCTTATATTTGTCATTCAAATTTAGTCATTAGTACTTTGTATTAATTGTGAATCTTATCGAAAATAATGGAATATTATGATTTTATTTGATTAATTGTTTGCATTTAAAGATTTAGCATTGCATGCTTAAAAGTTTTTGGGTGTTTTCTGTTTTAGATTAATCTCCACATTAAAAAAATTGGAATATTTTTATTTATTTTTTATTGTGATTTCACTTGAAAAAATGATGTGGTCTCAATTCAATTTCTAAATTAGTGTTGCATGCATTTGTGTCATGATCATTTGTGGACCCGACCCTTAGTGATATTTTCAGGGCCATTTAAGGGGGATTACAAACCTAAATGACCAACATGTCTAAAAGAGTAAAACCCTTATAGAGTTCTCGAATAAGACACCAAAAGACCAATAAAAATTACAACAATAATCACTATAGACAAGTTCACCTTAAGTGCCACCAACATGACTATTGTTTAGGTTACTCTATACACACGATGACCTTGATGAGCAATTCATGAGCCCTAACAAAATAGAAGCTCTTACTTTTGACAATCATCATGATCCTTAGGCTGTTGATATGTGGATTCATGACTTTAATCAATTCTTTGAGTGATATAATTTGTCTGATAATAGAAGAGTTAGATTTGCTAAGAAGATATTCATTGGTGGAGCCCAACTTCATTGGAGAGATGTTGAGGATTGTTTAAAGATAAGAGGTAAACCTCTCATAACTGATTGAACTAAAATGAAACAAAAACTACGATAAAAGTATCTACCCTACTCTTATAAGAATAAACTTTTAGATCAATGTAACAACCTAAGATAATGAAACAAGTCTTATCAATGAGTATATAAAACAATTTAATGATTATATGATGAGATGTGTCATAAGAGAGAATGAAGCCATGACTTTACATGTAAATGTTTGAATGATGATTTAAAAAAAAAATCATGCTTATTGCTGTCTTTAATTTTGACCAAGTCTATACTGTAGTACAATATTATGACCTACTTATAAAGAGTCAATAAACAAAATATCAAGACCTTTTTAGGTCTCAATTTAGAAAAAATGGTTCTTTATTAGGTGTTCCACCCTATAGATCTAATCCTAGTAGTGTTCAAATTTATAAAGAAGATGAAGGTAAACAAGTCATTAATGAAATATCTAGATTGAGTTTAGAGGTTCAGTGTGCTAAATATCAAGGTTTTGATCATATCTTTGTCATCTGTATTTCTAAACCCTTAGTCATCCAATAACATAAGGATATAGGTGAAAAGAAAAACCAGTGTGTGCAAGTATATAAACTCAATCCTGAAGACTTTAGAGACCTCGATAAATAGGGTGTGTAAGAAGAGGGATTTAACACTACAAGTCCAAATAAATCTGAAAAGGTGGTTAATAAAGAATATAATACTTATGTTTTAGTGGTAAAGGAAGAAGTTTTAGGAAACTCTTTAATAAAATCATTTGAAAAGGTAAATATGGTTTTAGAAGAGTCTCATAATGTTAATCCTCTTTTAAACTATCTGAATCCTCACCCACCTTACTTGATGTCTAGCATGCTATAAGTTTAGATCAATATGTTAAGCTTTCTAATCCCTTACCTCTAACATGTAATGAGAAAGACAAATATAATCCTAATTTATTAGGTTATGTCCAAATTATATCTGCTAAGGTTTTGAATAGTGTTTGTTCCAATCCAAACCCTCAGTCATATGGTGTTTATAGTTATGAACCTAGAAAGCTTGTAGATTTTCTTTCTTTTTCTTGTCACGCTAAAATGTCCGATTCAACTAAGTCTTATGTATGTAGAATTCATAATTTGCATGTTGAGATTATTGAACAAATTCAAGCAAGTAATGAACAATAAAAATTTCAAGTTGATTTGTATAAACATCGTGATATACTTAATATTGGAGATTATTTCATAAACGATGTCCTTTGAAAACCATTTATAAATTGCTAGTGAATAGTGTTGGACCATTCAAAGTGTTGCAAATAATTAAATCAAATAGTTGTGCATTAAACTGCCACTAAACTTTGATATTAACTTTACTTTTAACATAAAGGACCTTGTTATACATAAAATACAACAATCTATTATTAATGCTCCTTTTGATATCCTTACCGCATAATCTTTATCATTGGCATAAAATGCTATTTTGGATGCATAAGTTGTTTTTATCAGAGATGGTGAAGTTAAGCAAATCCTAGTTTATGAGTTAGGCGACCACATTCATACTATATTTGGATTAATAAAAAGACATTATAGTAGCTTGATTCTCATCTCTGGGAGCGTGTTATTGAAGCCATCTTGCCCTATACTTAACAGTTTAAAGCTCTTTCAACCCCAGGAGAGTTGATGGGGACATTAAATTCGAGACATGGTTTACATGTCCGTATGATCTATGACGACGGAGGATAGCCCAACTCTTGTGTTATTAGATTTTTTTTAGGTTTATTTGTTGTTTTAATTTAGTTATTATTAGATATTTTATTTAATGGTCTATAAGCCCAATTATTTGTTCTAGTTAAGGTCTTAGTATTTATAAATTCTAAATGTTAGACAATTTTATGATGAATTGAATAAAATTTACGAAGTTGTAGGGTTTAGTTTAGTTACTTTTGGATATTTTATTTGGTGGGCTATAAGCTCAATCATTTGTTTTAGTTAAGTTCTTATTATTTATAAATTCTAAATGTTAGATAGTTTTTTTGATGAATTGAATAAAATTTACGAAGTTGTAGACTTTTCCAGCCCGTATTCTTTCCTTTCATCTTTTTATTTTTTTGGGCTTATGTTTACTTGTTCTTTTCCTTCCTTATCTTTAAATCTTTTTCCCCCACGGCAACATCCGTTTCAATGTTCCTTTGTATGGGAGAGTAATGACCTTTGCCTTTCCATTTATTGTCATAAAATTGTAACTACTAGTTTTCATAGCAAGTGAAGTTTTTGTTAATTTAGTGACAACGCTGTGAAGTAAAAATCTCTGCGTGACATGCTTGGTACATTCATAGCTTTAGTAATTGAATTTGGGTCCACTTTTTACTTAATATATAGTTGGGGGCAACTCGAAGCTTTACGAGTGCAACGTGAGTTCTTAATATCATGCATCTGAATTTGCAGGGAGATTGCAAAACATCTTTCTCTTCCACCAGTTAAGCTGCACTGCAGTATGCTTGCAGAGGATGCTATCAAGGCTGCTGTAAAGGATTATCAAACGAAGCGTGCAAAATTAAGTGGTGTTTCAGAAACCGAACCTGTCGAGCAAGCTGCTAAAGCTTGTTCGTGTGGATGAGTAATGGTGTTGAAAATATCCAAGAGACGAATGTTGAAGCCAATGGTTTTCAAGTCGTTGTAATAAGAGCTTGCACCTGATCTCAAAGGTACTTCTGCTTAGGTTCAAGTCTGTCCTAGATGATACTTGTGTTGTAAACTGAATCTGATGAGTGATGTGGCAATGGCAGTGTGATGCTGATGTGTGTTGACTCATACAAGATGGGAGTTAGAACTTTATAATAACATTGATAACTAGTAGTTGCTTCGGCACTATTATATGGAATTTTTTTTTGACAAATTTATTAAACTCAGTCAAGTTGAGTTGAGTGAATTATGATGATCTGCTGACTTGATCAATGGTCTTGATGTGTTTGAAAGCAAACTTTATAAGAGTTGACTAAGTTCAGCGCAACAAACTTGGCTGATTCATCTACAAATTAGTACAAATTAGTTAATTTGGTAAAAATTTAATCTATGTTTTTTAAAAAATATTTTTTTAAAAAATATTAATTTAATATTTTTTATAAAAAAAATATTGAAACCTAGATAATTTTTATTAATTTAATGAACTAGGTAAATAAGCTCAACCCCTTACTTACCTTTACCTCAAAACTAAAGGTGAAAAAAATGATAAACTAATTAAATTAAGAAAACTAAAGAAAGTTAATTGAAAAAATAGAATCAAGAGAAAAAAATCAATTAAATCAATTAAAATTTTTAGAAAAACTTCTAGTTTAGTTTAGTTTTGATTTTTTACTGTTGAAATTGGTAAACTCAAATTGAATCGAATCAGTTCATGTTAAAAGAAAAGGCACTATTAATAAAAAGAAAATGATTTATATTTTAACCTAAACCCAATAACTTTAGAAATTGTCTCCTTTAAAGACACATAAATATGCCTCTTACTCTTTATTCTTTAATTTGTATTTACACTTTTCAGATCTAGTAACTCAACGACATTTCCCGACCTTAACACTCAGCAAAAGTCCATCTAAGGCTCCAAATGTTCTTTTACAATTCTTTACAATAAAATTTATTTTTTTATTATTTTGTAATTGTGAATGAGATTTATCAGTTGTTTTTTTATCCGTATCTTGGGAATGCTTTAGAAACTATCAAGATTATTTTTTTTATTTATGCTCCAGTTTAATAAATATTCCTAGGATAGGTGTGATTATTACCTCACTGCCTTGCATGTGGACATAGAAAAGAGAAAGCACTGCATGTGCAAGTGATGGTCAGGGTTGTTATCCTTACCAAAAAGATAACTATCAAGTAACAATCATATGAAGCTTTATCAACCTTAGCTACCAAGGTTGTAGGTATATTTATAAAAATTGCAGTGAATTATACTAAAAGCTTATTCAAATAGTTAATATTTTATAAATATCTTGATTGTATTTTTAAATGTAAGGCAACAGTGGAGATGGAGTTGCAATTAAGTATATATTTTAATGATATTGTATTGCTTATTTTAGTTTTGGTTTTTTCAAGTTTTTGACATAAAAAGTCAAATCGAACCAAACCAAAATTGGTTAGTTTGAATCGATTTTGGTTCGATTTTTTTTTTAAATTTTAGTTTGATTGTTTGTTTTGGTTCAATTTTTTTTTAAAATTTTAGTTTGATTGTTTTTATAAATAAAAACTAAACCGAACCGAAAATGATCACCTCAACTCATAACTTTAGTTGGGTTTGATAATTTGGCCTTTTAGAAATTATTTTTTATAAATTAAATAATTATAAAAATAGATATTTATAAGACTTGTTTACTTAGATGATCTATTGGATAAGGAATATATAAAAAATCAAGTCTAGAAAGATAATGAAATAAGAAAAGTCAGGTTTTATGGTATCAAAGATCAAACCAAACAAATTCCATTTTAAGAAAATTATATATTATCTCTGTAAGAATTATATATTATCCCAAGTTAAACTATAACTAATTTCTCCATTAAAAATTCATAATAAGGTGGTTTTTTTTTCAAAACTACTAAAAAAAGATAAAATCAAATTTTTATTCCTCTCAAAGTTACTATAGAACTGAACAAATATAGATATAGGTAATAATAATCTTTAAAAAGGCTCTTCTAATCTTAGAATCAATTTACTATATCGTTCTAATTTAAACCTTAATTGTCTTTGATTTTTTTAACGCTATTATATTATATGACTCACTTCCTTATCCCAAATCATTACAAGGCTATTATAGGACTCACTTCCTTATCCCAAATCATTACAAAACTTAGAGAATGGGAATGTATGTCAAGATTACCAAAATCAAAGTTAGCTTTAACAATTAGTGAAAAAGACTTTATTTATTGAAAATATTTGAGAATTAGTTATTAAGCAAACTTTTATTTAAATTAAGGCCTTGTAATCTTTGGTTTACCTTGATTAAATAGTGTTTTATGCTTCCAACAACTTCATATCACTTTATATCATTAAAAATACATCTAAACAATGAAAAGTTGTATAATAAACATATGTTATGTGAATTTTCTCCTTAATATGATGATAATCAAGTTCATAGTCAAAACATGCTTTTTTCAGTACTAATAACAACAACATTATTTGATATATTCTTCAATACCTTATGATAAAAGATAGAATTTTGTTAAACATGGTCATTAACAACATTAGCTTTTGAATATTATTAAGATATATAAGATATGATAGGAAATAACTTTTGAATATTAATTACGCTTAGCCTATTGAAAAAAATGTTGTTACACCAAATTGTCTGAAAATTGGTTTTATATCAAGAAATTTTCCATAGACATCAACATACCAAAATCCCAGTTAAGTACTACCAGGAGAGAAGGAAAGAAGGGAAAAAAAGGTTTAAGAAAGCTTTGTTCTCTCTCTCTCTCTTGTATAATTTGGACAATGATTCTAATGAAACTGGAGCATAAATAGTCCATATTGAAGATTGAGTATTAAAATTAACATGTTGTGTATGAAGATAAATGTAAATTATAGCATGAAAATAAGAATGTGTAATGACTTATAAAAGCCTTTATTTTCTTAGTTTTTGAGTATTGCATATGGAGATCCCACATTAAAAAAGAGTGTCTGGAGTTAGGGTCTTATTAGTAGTGCTAGTGCTATCTAATTGTACGCATTTTAGGACGTCAGGCTCAAAGATGGGCTCGCGTTACCAAAAATAAAACCATGAAGATGATAAGGCTTAAAACAAACAGTACATGACAGGTTGGACCAGGCTATTATATTTGGTAGTGCCGAGGATGACTCATTCTAAGTTGGGGGGATTGTGAGATCCCACAACGAAAAAGAGTGTCCAAAGCCAAAGTCTTATTAGTAGTACTGGTGCTAACTTGTCGTTCATGTTTTGGGGTGCTAGGCTCAGAGATGAGCTCGCATTACCAATAATAAAACCATGAGGATAGCAAGGCCCAAAGCAAACAATATACGATAGGTTGGGCAGGGCTATTACAGCACATCATTGTCAATGATGTTAATATACGATAGGTTGGGCAGGGCTATTGATTAGTACTTAAAAATGCATTTTCAAACCCTATAGATATAAAGATCTAGAAATCTACAATCAAATCGACATTTCTCAAGAAAGCTAAATTCAAGCTTATCATTTAGCTTGACCTAATGATAACCTGTACTGAGACAGCAAGACTATAATTAACCAACCTCACACCACTTATAATTAAGACACAAACAATAAGTATAGAAGATGTCACAAAACTTTAATTTTTTGATGAGCCATAGTAGTTACACGAGAAATCAAAAGTAAGACTTTCTAGACCTTATCACAAGTCCTTTTCAATATATGATTGCCTTAAAATTCTAACTAAATATAAAACAAGACCTTTAGAAACTTTTGGTGAAATTTTAGCTTGATGTAATGGTCAAATAAAAAAAATTATACTTATTGATATAAAACAACATATTAAAAAACTAAGCTCAATCAACATGTAAGTAGAAAAATAATTGAATTTGCAAGTCTTATAGGAAATAAGGCCCATATATTTTAAATTAACCCATTGCTTACTTTTTTAACCTTCTTTGCTCTTGACCTTGTAATAGGCCTAATTGACACATGTAATGAATCCCTTGGTATACCTTGTTGATTTGCATAATTCCTTATCTCTTCAAAAGAATTTTACATCAAAGCATTATCTTGCTTGGATGTTAACTCACTTTAAGAAGACTTATTAATCCGATTTTATGGTTTTCATATCTTTCTTTAGTTGTAAACAATCAGATCGTAAATAATCTACCTTGTTTCTTTAAAATGTTTTCTTCAAAAACTTTTTTATACTATGCTGTAAGTCTAATTGAAATTATAATAATAATGAAATAACATGAAAATTAAAAAAATAAAGGGATGTAACATGATTTTAAAACCTTATTCCTATACTAATTAATGTGAACCTCATGGATATATATATCTAGAAACCCAAAGTCAAATCAACTTTTTTTAAAAAAGCTAAATTCAAGCTTGAGATTGAGCTTCACATAACGATAATTTATTACAAGACACCAAGGCTATAAGTAGCCAAACTCAATCAAATGCTTATAATCAAGATGAAATCAAAAGGTATAGAAGCCTTCATGAAGCTTAGTTAATTCTTTGATAAGTCATAGTAGTTCCATAAGGAACCAAGAGTAAAGGCAAACTCTCACAAATAAGTTTTATTTCTAAATAATCAATCCATATCTTATTAATTAAATAAAAAAGTAAATACAAGCTAAATAACATATTTATACTAGGTAAAATGCCCTAAATAATGTTGGAAAAAAATTTTAAATAAAAGAAGAAAAAAAATTCTAAATCAACTAGGAAACTAATATAAATTCCATATAATAGCTTCTGGATCTTATCTTGGCATTACTGATGTTTGATTTCCCTTGAAATTTTAACCCAATATAAAACAAGACCTTTGAAAACTTCTAGTAAAATTTCATCAGAATCTAACCATTAAAAAAAATATTATGCTCATTAATATAAAATTGCACATTAAAAAAAAAGCTCAATTCACGTGTAAATAAAAAAATAAGTTAAATCTGC